CCCTCTCAAAAATATTGAAGTCCGTGTCCATAGCTCCATATAACTCAAAAGCTAGAGGAACAAAGAGATGATCTCTCTGTATATCCTTATACTTGAAGATCTTGGCTGCTGGAGCTTCACTCGCCGTCCATCCTAGAGGATGGGTGATCATCCCCTCTGAAACTATGTCACGAGTAATATCGATAACCACCACATCCGCCATAATAACCTGGTCCTCCCGAATCAACCACAGGTCTATCCTAACCCTGATCGATTGTAAGACATATCAACCCTCCCTCCATGTGAGATATCCACCCTCTTGTGACATAGCAAACACCACATACCTAATGGCATCATGGGTAGTTATACTCTGCCCTCCAAACGGGCAACAAGTCATATGAACACCTGATGTATCTAAAATGATATCACACTCCTATGTGAGTAATGAAGATGTAGATGGTTGGACCAAGCCAAGACGAAACTTCATCGATGTAGAGAAAGTAGTTGATGCATGTCAGAAAGTCCTGATGCATGGTCAAGCCAAGATCCACGAGCCTGCACCCTTTCCAGAGCAAGAGCGTAGACGAGCCCTAGTAATACGAGGAATGGTCGGATCCACTAAGAGTGAATGTAGAGTCTGATGAAATTATCGGTCCATCAAAATAGACAATATACCTCTAGTTCAATCGATGGTTAAAGAGAAAAAAGACAAGAGTTCATGACGTACCTCCAAGGGTAAAGCATCTTTTGTATGTCACAATAATATATGTAAGGAAAATGATCTCATATCCACGTCCCTCGCATATATCTCAAGGATAGGTCTATCTACAATCACAAATCGAGAAGATAAAAAAGGTGTCAACAGTGTCCAACTAGCCAAAAATGCTATAGATGTAGTCTACCCCATCAATAATAAGCCTATCCCACCACATGAAATTGGAAAAAAATTATGTCTTCATGCCAAATCTCCTATCACACACTCAAAGATCCCTAGTCTGATGATGTCACCAAAGACACCCATGATCCTCCTATCAAAGGCTGTCAAACGTGATATGAATGTAGATGAAGGAGGAACCTTACGAAGAAGGTAGATGGGTCTACGAGTAGTACTAGATGAGAGTATATCAAACGCCACATGCGGAACCCATAGAAGAGAAAGATCATCTACATGCCATATACCCTTGACAAGTGCAACGTCTAGGTAGCGTGAGACAAAATCCTCGGACCCTACTGGCACTCTTAGAATGCGTAAGCCATTTGTCGATGTTATATATCGTCTGGAAGCTGGAGATGAGGATGAATGCCCAAAAGAGACCAAACCCTACACTTTAACACCTTAACTCTGAAGCCTACAAAATGAAGCTCAGTAGTCAAGTAATCAAAGGTCTGCTTAATGTGGTCTATATGGCCCACAATGTGTGTATCATCCACTAAGGAGTGGAACATACAATCTGCCACAACCAAAGCAATAGACAAAAGAGCTCTATAATGAATCATTTCAAATACGGATACTCCCAAAGGATCTCCATGTCGAGTGCCAAAGATATGTCGAGTGCCAAAGATGTATTGTAGAACGGTCACTACTTCCTCGAAAAAGCTATGCTGATAAAAGAAAAAAGAATGTGAATTGTAGAAAGACCATACGAAAGGAATGAGGCTTAATAGAGGTCCACCAACCTCCCCAAACCATAGCATAAACAATCATGGTGCACTTAGTCCAATCACTTTCCGAAATGGATCGCCAACAATAAAACGAAGGTGCGTTGGGTCACTTGAAGGTACTTGAAGAAAGAAAATGCATATACCTGAAAAACGAGCTTGTTGTTTTCACATAGCCGGGATTGCTAATTGGTTCATGCGAGTAGCATGCAGCACGTACACAAGCTTAATTGCACTCAAACATCGTGCACATGAATCGCAGCACTTCTGATCTGTCTTGTAATCGACAGGTCAGAATCAACTCAAACGAAACATAATATAACTACAAAATTCGACTACTTCAGTGTACGGATATCGAAACATAATGTACAATAATCTGCCAATTTACACATATATCATCTAGAATCATATATATATATATATTTATTTATTTATTTAGATTCTGTAGGTATTGAGCTATGAGTTTTTCTACCTCGATCTGCATCCTCTTGTTCCTTCAGAAAAATCAGCAATGAGACTTCACTCGCCAGTAGGACACTTGCAATTTCTCATACCCAAAAAAACAAAACAATACAAAATTAATGCAAGACTTTGTTGTTCAGACGTAGAAAGCCCTTACACGGACTGTCTATGTTCACTATCTATATGTGAACTAGGGGTCTTACATTCTTTTACATATAGTAACAAAATGTTGTAGTATCTCCAACGCAATGACTATATAATCATATACTTAAAGCTAAACCAGCTCTAAACTCAAACACACAGATGACAAACTTTCAAAATAATAACTAACGAAAAGCTCAGTTTGTATAGATGTGCTTCAGAGTAGAAATCTCAGAAGTTGTCAGTGTCATTGCATATGGACCATGTCAAAGGAGACTTTGCACATGCCATTTTGAAAACGTTCGAAGCCCTTCGACCTTTGCCTTGTTGGACAAAGATGAAGATAATCAGGAGTCTTACGACAGAAGACTTCTTTCTCTTCAGATCAATCTCTTGCTCCAGATGCGAAAGAGAGAAATTTGACTCGAGCTGCAGAACAACCACTCGGCCCTGAAAGGGCTGTGTGAATGAACTCAACAGTCTCAAAAGGAAGAAAGGATTTCAGGCTGGAACAAACCCTCAGGATAGATCCTTGATGTAAACAATTTTGAATTCAATTCTCGCATAAAGTCAAATTTGTTTCAGCAAGATTCTGTCCAGAGAACACCTTTAGACCCACTATGCAGGAAGTCAAGAGGTCTATTCTTAGGGCCGGAAACCCGAAGACTTTCTGTCGAGATGTCTAACTAATGAATAGACCTTATATATATTCTACACATTTTGGCACCCAGCCCTGGTGTGTCTTTTTCTGATTTTGTTCTTGGCTACCTTGTGTTGTACTTTTTTCAATGGGTTCCGATTACAGTGCGGATCGTATTCCACCAACCCCTTTCGATAGGTTTCCCATCCCTTTTAGGTCATTTCAATTTCCACCCGTAGCTTCCTGATCAAAGAATGTAAATTCCACGAAGGTATGCCCTTTGAATTGAAGTAACACAAGAAAACCTTAGTAGCTTAGTTGTGGGTTCTGCAGCTGCGTTGCTCGAAACCTACTCTGATTTTTTATTTTTGAAGGTAATCATATTCAGGTCTAATCATACTGTTCCGAAGCAACAGCATGACGTCCAAAAAAAAGCAGATTCTACTAGATATAACATGCAAATAGAGCGAGGTGACTTTGCAGACCAGCGCTGGTCAGCTTGAAACCATCCAGGCATCCGACAAGTCTTATGAGTTGTAGTGGTGGTCGATGATTGTAATGAAGACAGTACACGTTGACAAATTTTTGTCCGCACGAGGGTCACTAGGCCTTCATGGATTCTCAGACTCATAATTGAACACGCTTTGATTGCATATACCATATATGATATTACCGGAGCTCTCGTGCTTCCGGAAGTTAATACGTGTGTGGCTTCAACTCACTACGACCAGAACTTGGCCATGGATCTACCGTTTACTAGTTCCGTTCGGTCTTACATCACCTGACATTTATAAATAATAGTGTTGACTCCAAAAGCCTACAGATGCTGGCTACATCAAACGCAGTGCTCAACCTTATACTTCGGCCCAAGTAGCCAACTGTCCCTACACCTCCACACAGCGCATACCTCCTTTGTACAGTACGTCCAGTTTGTAAACACATATGTTGAAACAAAAAAACTTGGTGTGGACGTGAACATGTTCCTCTAGAATGTGCAGTCATGATTTGTCTTGAAGCCTCTGACTTAATCTTCCCTTATTTCCAGAGCATTGGAATAGAAACTTAAATCTCGCATGAACCTTCATGCACTTGCAGAGAGAGTAGTGTACACGACTTAAAACTAAAATCCATTCCAGGCGCTATTTCGGTGAATTCTAAGCCTTTGACACTCAAAGCTTGAGAAAGTCTTCCACGGGATCATGAATAGCATGCAATATGCCTCATGTTCTACAACGCAAGAGAGTTCATGCATTCATGTAGAATCAGATCTTTACATCTCTGAGTTTCAAAAGTGAATTCACAGTACTGGTCGTAAATGCTCCGAGTATAATTTTGCTTCACATACTGATTTACTCTCCGACTGTTAAGATTCTGGCTATTGTTCTTGGGGTTACTTCTCATCTCCAGAGAAACGATGGACTTTCGATTTCCTGGGAACTCGTCCTCTGAATTGTTAACGAGCAGACTGAGTACATCCTCTCTGACTTTCACGGGTCGAAGATCCGAAAGTCTATGCAACACGCAGGACTACATCTATGTAAGCAAGCAGCCTAGGGAAATGATGTCAAGGCACACCACCTCTCGATCGATCTGAGTTCTGATTAATCCAGAGAAAGATTAGTTATCTCCTGTTCTCTTGGCCCACTGGTAGGTTCTTTTCTTGCCAATTTTGGCTTTTGTTTTGTAGATGTGGTTGCATCGCACTGTTATCACCCTTACCGACGATCTGCATATATGAGACATCAGAGTCGCCATTTGAGACATAGTGATTTATCACGAGAGATTAGCTATTTCCTTTTCTCTTGGCCCGGGTTGTTTCCTTTCTTGACACTTTTGGCTTTTGCTTCATACCTTCTTCGATGTGGTTGCATCGCGCTTTTATTCTATTCGTTTCCCTTTGGGCGTTTTCACTCATGTACATATCTTTAGTCAAGGATGCTGGTAGGATAATTATTCTATTCGTTTCCCTTTGGCCATGTTCATCCATATACATATCTTTAGTCAAAGATGTTGGTCGGATAATCCCCATTCCCGTCAGCTACACTTTCAAAAATATTCAGCGAACTTGTACCTACTTCCGCGAGTAATACGGTGCTTTGCCGGTATGCTGGCATGTGCATTAGAGGTGCCGGGAATCAACCCCCGTGCCTACTGCATGCAAAGCGATCGCTCTACCATGTGAGCTACACCCCCTTCGTATCAAATGAGTTGAGTATAGTGTTATAATTCTTGTAAATGGGCTCTCATTTTTCCTCTCCAACCCCAAACTGTGGATGTGCGAGTATGTACGGCTTCATGGCGTCTTCCAATCCTTTTTGCTATATATTTCTTACTTCCATTCCGATGTGCGAGCATTAGCATGCAAGTTGACGTGTGCACAAAAGGGGATATACTCATCTCATTCCTAGATTCCCTACCAAGCTGACCATAATGGAAATGGAGGTGCCTAAGAATTTCCCGAGTCTGCACAGCATTGAGCATAGTTAGAGGATATGGGTGATGGGGCATATGATGAAGCTCCCTTCTCCAATTGAGGTTTGCAACAGTCTTCAAGAAAGCTCACCCCAAAGTCTGATCTTGCTCATACTTGTGGGTGTCTATATCATCGTACTCGGGGCTGTTCTGGTTCCTGCCTCACATGCTGGATAGTTTTGGCATCACGAAATTCTGCTCTATATTATAAACTTAGTGTACTGCAAGTAGGAATAAGGCCAGCCTGAAAGTTCATTAATCCTGACGAGAATTAGTTAACTTCTTGTGCACTTCTTGGAAAACATTCTCTAAATTCTGTTTTTGGGAAATTCATTTCGCATGTAAGTATCGGACGAAACACAACTCCCGCCAGGTCACTCAAGTCTCTATTTAAATCATGTGCCTAAACTTTTTACACCACATTCTTTACATTTGATTCCATGCCCGACCCAAGAGTTTCCAAAATGACATCCATCTGGCAAACGAAAAAACAATTAGTCCACCGTAGTCATCCACGAAGAAAGTAGAAAGTAAGCGCAGGTGTACTAGACTCCCTCACACAAATGTCACAATGACGTGTTTCTGATATGAAACGAACATTTAGCCAAGGTCTCACTCGTTGAAGTTCCTGAATATATTCCTTGGGCCGCCACTCGGCGTCCTGTCCGTCCTTCTCTCGGGTGGTGTGGCAAAGGTGCGCTCATGAAGCTAACCAAAGAGTCGGGTCTTCCTTTCTTTAATTGCAGTTAAGGAAGAGCAGATGTGATGCACATGAATCGACGAGATCAAGATGAATCCATAAATGTTATGAAGTTTCGTTCTCAGGGTTTCGGCACTTATTGTGGCAGAGTAGAACTGACCGAATAAATGGTCTGTCCATGTAATCGACATAAACTGTGTGACTTTCACGTACGCCTTTAAAGACCCTGAGATCCATGACATCAGACGAGCATCAAAGACACAAAGCATAACAGAGAAATTGTCAAAGTCACGGTTCTTGGCCTTGGTAATGATCCAATTTTAGAGTTCCTGTCACAAGTTGTATCATAACTAGAACAGAAAACAAGTTGATACCCATTCGATTAAATTCACGTTATGGATGCAAACAATCACAATGGCCGAACAAGTCTTGCCTCTGTACAACAAGTTGAACTCTGGCATCCATGACATCAGACGCCGACCAGTAATACTCCCCTACAGAGCCAACTCCATTGGCACGGCCCTGACCTCAGAGAGAATCCATCGACCGTTTCTGCAACAAGCCTCTTAAATTTTGACCAAAGTTGAATTGCTTCATATTATGTTGTACTTATTGGCTGCAGAAATTCACACAGAAAAGCATGAGATGCAAATGACTACTGCTGTTGCCCCATAAGTAACAACAGTGAGATAGATTCAGCAGCTTCATGGAACAGCAGTAATAGACAGAAGCAAATTATGAAACCAAATTGAATATGCAAATTCGCATGCATCCATGCAGGCAGGGACGCTGAACTGTGCGTGGATTGTTCCCTCTAAGATATAGAATTGCAGCATTTAGGTGTAGATTGCTCTGAAGGCATTGTTGATTACTGACTCCGTTGTAGCACCTTGCGTTTCAGGTTTTCATCGATGTACTGATTGCACGAAATCACAGTCCAACTGGAGCAAAGAGAAGAAAAAAGCTGAAAGGATGAAGTTCAGTTAGCGCTGCAGATCTCGGGATCTGCTAAGAGCTTACTGAACATCCTCTGCTCCTCCTCCTCCTCGACATGCGTAGAGCTGATGAGAGCTCCAGAATATCGCACTCCGAACGTTCAAGCTCTCAACACCGGAGCAAGAGAATGTTGCACAACAACCTTCGGCTCAATAGAGAAGGGACCAAATGTGGTATTGCAGTTCAGAGTGGTAAGGTTGTAAATTCATGCCCTGTTAATAAGTTCAAAAATTCGACTGATCTACTCCTTCTGAATTCTGATTTCTTAATGTCTCGCAGAAAGCCAGATTCAGAGAAAGAGTCCAGCTGGAAGAGATTCTCATCTTTAACTGAAGATCTTCTATTTCAACGCATTCAAATTTTCACTATGGCCACCAATGACCACCAACTCACTGGATACGAAATGCAAGCTGAATGAATCAAGATCAGCAAGAGGATCAATAACCAACAATTGCCAAGTTGGACCACAATAAAACTCCGAGTGAACGCAGTGATATATGTACTACAAGCTACAGATGCAAAACAGCAGTACAACTGAGTTGATAACAGTTTTGCTTTGACATCAAGCTTGGATCTAAAATCAGAAAATGACTCGTTCGTGTCACGGTTAGAAACCCTGTCAGAAAACCTTTTATCATTCATTCCGCTATCGACACTCGAGTCTTGGACCAATTCAGCAATGACACTCAGAACAGAAGCAAGCCATCCATGGCCGGTGCGAGCAAAAACCTTGTCAAGAATTCTCCAGTCAAGTGCCACAATTGGCACAGACATGACGAACTATCGTAAGACCCCGCAGGATCTTTGTCAATGAGACGTCCGGCAAAGCGATGAAGGGCAACACAGAAAAATGATGTTAGAAAGCATGTAACAATGCATTCTAACATACTGAAATTGAATACTGAAGTTCATTCAGTAGGACTTGCAATTGACAACTTTTTGGTGAGCGTTGGGTTTCAGGTCAAATGGGTCGGATCATGTTTACTAACTGAACTAGGACTAGGCATCAATGGATCCGGAATGGGAACAGAGGGCAAACGGTGCACGAGTGCAAAAAGAGATAGACGATGGCGAACCATGCTAAATGATATCAGATGCTAAATACTTCACTATCTGGACAGCGAAGTATTGCTAACTGAACACACACGATGTTCCTATAAGCCTGCTGCCAGTTCATAAATTAAACCTAAGGAGACCGAACAAGACAAACCATGGGGCCGCGGATAGATTTAAGCGGGAATTTCATTAGAGCCACTGCGAAAGACGAGTAGGAGTCCTGCTGCAATTGAAACTTCAACCAAATTGCTCATTCGAGGTGAGGAGATGAGAGATGACTATTCTTCTCAACATGGTAAGGCCATCTTTTCTCTCTGTCTATTTTTTCGGAGATCTGGACCCCTCGAGGGACAACTGTCATTCTATCAGTTTGCTCACACCAGGCTGTCATGCATGATACATTGGTCTGGACCAAATTCAATGTCACCTCACCACTGGAATCGAGCTACGTGGTGATGGGACCTTATTGGCAGAGGAGAAATGGAATGAATGTAGAACTCATGTCGGGCTTCCATGGTTGCATATCCTGGCAACGCTTTGAAATTCAACTCCTCTTTACTGTCATGATAATCATAACTTAACCACCCAAACTTAGGCCAAAAGTTTTCAAATTGTGTGCACCACTGGAGTTGAGTGCTTTCTGTCTGTCTGTGCCGTTTAACCAGCGGGCTGCATCCTCACACGACGTCTAGAATCGAATCCTTTAGGCACGAGCAGCTCTAGAGGTCACATGCCTACCGGCCACGGCACCGGGGACACAGGTGGGGGCAGGTTTGACGCTGAGGATGTCTGAACAGAAATCGCCCTGTAAGGAGGTCACAAACGGCCCATCACCTGAATTCGGAAGAAATCATCAACACGGAGTCATAAGCTTACATGGAGGAAGAGGAGGAAGAATCTGAGTGTTCAAAGCTCGGAGGCATGTCGTAATGAGTGCAAGCAGAACCTAAAGTTAGGAAACGGTTACATGTATAGAACGTCATGTCAAGGTGATTGACCCATTTCTCAATCCAGTCAAATGGAATCTGATCTTCGTTGTGAATGATGCAGGCTACTGAAAAATGTGAGGTCATGTAACGTGCCCCTCTCTGCTTTACAGCCAACTGCCCGAGGCACGAACCTTCGATTGAAAGGAAAAGCAAGCTTGGATGTTGAACAAGCAGGATAATGACAGGAACACACGGCCCCAACGATGAAAGAAACACTTCAGCTTTCCAGCGTTCAAAGAAACTGCTGGCACACCAGGTGTTGACTGAGGACCCCATGTTCTGTAGTATAATACGACCTCAAAGCTTCTCGTCTTCTTTGAAGCAATCTCCCATGATTAATGCTTTTTGCAGTGTCCTGCATTTGAACTAGCCTATGCGCACAATTCCCAGGCCTGCTGCTCCCAAGGCCTATAATTAGCTGCCTGGGCGAAAAATTTGTGATGACAGACTCTCATACTGCTGAGCAGTACATCAATATAGTGCTGTAAGAATCGTGTGCACAGGAACTAGTTTGGTGTATTACCTATTCCTCACCAACTCTCAAATCAAACCTTGAGGCAATCTTATGGTGAAATCAGACTCTGGGACGGAAGGTGCTGATGCTGCCGCTCAAAGCATGCTGAGGATTGTCATCGTCAATCTTTTATCATCCTCCAGGGCTGCGTTTTGTATTCTGGGTGTGAGGTTTGGCAGAACAGGCTTTGCAAGGACGGGTCAGTTTTGCACGGAAGGAATCAAATCTCCACAGGAGGAGTGCTCCGGCCACACCTGCACGAGAGGATTTAAAAAGCAATACCTCCAGGGCATCACAGAATACTCGTTCCATGTTCCACGTCGTGACTCCAACCTCGTGCATGGACTTCTAGGACTTGCGCCTCCAGGCGGATCACCTTCTGTTGTCTGCGGCATTGCATGCCATGCCATGCCATGCCATGGGGAGAGGGTTAACAAACGGGTCAAGGCTCAAAAGGCATCTGGCAC